CAGGTAGGCTGCTTTCTGGGCCCACTCGTGGCGAGCAAACTGCTTCCTCCCAGCTGAAAAGAGGGGAGGGAGGGATGGAGAGAGAGAGAGAGAGAGAGAGAGAGAGAGAGAGAGCATCAGGTCTGAGTCAAGAGAAGCGAAGAAGCTCCCTTGTGCTGGCCCGGTGGGGGTGGGGAAGAGGAGACATTTCTGGAAAGGACCCAAGGGCTCAGCACCATATGCAAGTCAGCACTCATCCTTCCCCTTGTCAACAGAGAGCTCCAGGCCCCACTCGTAATGTGGAAGGAGGAGCCCAGGAGTGGAGGGGAGAGGAGGGGCCTGCCAGGGACAACACAAGCATCTGATTCTCCACACATGAACAGTGGAAAAGGAATAAAATTCATTAGGTGAGGGATCACGCTTTATCAGGGTTCGGCATGGCATGACCCACTGCTTGGCCTTGTCATCGTTCACATTGTACAGAATTAAAAAGCAAGACGTTGCTGGGGAAGGGAGGGGGCAAAGAGAGAGAGACATAATGAAAATGTATTTAGGAGCCTGATGAGGGGAGATTGGAGGTCAACAGCTTAATGCTTCTTGCCAGGCTAAGCATGGCAATGAGCCATTGCAGGACGGGCTGTAGGCCGCCAAGGAAGAAGGGGCTGTGGAGAGAATAGCAGAAAGGCAGCCCTCTCTCCGCCTTGCCAGAACTGGGGGGTGGGAGGTGGGGGAACAACCAGAAACATCACCTGCTGGTGACAGCCACCCAGCTGTCCACCCGCCCATCAAGAAACATAGCTGTGGCAGAGGGTGGCAGAGGATCTGCCTTGCAAGCAGAAGGTCCCCGGTTCAAACCTCAGTGGCATCTGCTGGCAGGGTTAGGAGGGACACTCTGCCTGAAACCCCGGAGGGCCATTGCTGCCAGTCAGTGCAGACGATACTGAGCCAGATGGACTCAGTGCAAGGCAGCTTCCTGTATTCCCACTCTTAACAGTGGGCCTTCCTGGGGCCACAGAGGAAGGGGCACATCTTCAAAGGTTTCAGTTGGGGTGGGGAATGCCCACCCATAGATATCTAGGGGGAAAGGGATTGTTTCTCCTTTGCACATGGTGTCATGAAGGTGCTGCTCAGAAGTTAGAAGGTGAGGCTGCGCAGGACAGGCCTGGTCCAGCACATTTCGATGCAAAGCAGAAGGGACAGAAGACAATACAAGTTTTTTCGGGGGGGGTGTCAATGATAGCCACACGCAGAGGTCCACAGTAAATTATGCCAGGCATTCAAGTTTCTAGACCCTCCCGTGCAAAACTGCTTCACACGTGACGTGGGGAGGGGGGGCACTACAGCTGGTTTGAGGTGAAGATGGGAAGGACTGACCACCAGCTCCATGATGCATGCAGCCCCTAGGGCATCTGCAGGCAGGTCTGGGGAAGGCTGCCTGCCTGAAACCCTGGAGCGCTGCTGCCAGTCAGTGCAGGCAATATCAAGCTAGGTGAGACACCTAGCGACCTGATTCGGTATGGGCCAGCTTCTTGGGTTCTTATGTTTTTTAGGGAATGTGCCATAGCTCAGTGGCAGAGCACCTGTTTCGTTCCCCAATGGTAGGGCTGGAAAAGACCCCCTGCCAGTCAGTGTAGAGAGCACTGAACTGCATGCACTAATACAATTAGTCTCTCTATAAAGCAGCTTCCTATATACAGACAGCCCACCCACCCCCTGCCCCCATGACCATGGCACAGAGGAAGAGGGTGAACTCCCAGGGCCACTCTGGCAGCCCACCTCTAAGGAGGATCCGGGGCAGCAAGCTCACCAGGGGGAGGTGGTAAATGGGACTGAGCTAACCAGCCCTGTGCACCAGAAGGCACCAAACATGGGCATGGAGGAATGTGGGTGGAGGGGGATGAGGAAGAGGAAGGGCAGAGGGGAGGTGGATTTCATGGGGGGGCGCAAGGAAAGGGGGCTTTACCTTCGTCGCCGTCTGCATTGCAAAGGGAGCAGCATGCACCATGCAAACACAAAGAGAGGGGAGTTAGAACACAGCTTTGACATAAAAAGGTTCCTGCAGAGACATCAGGTGCAACAAAGGCAGGTGAGGCACACACACAAACACACACACACACACACACACACACACACACACACACTTTCATGAGACAAAAAACCCATCCCAAAGTTGTGGAGTTAAAGATAATTGCAGAAGGAGTCCAAGATTTCTGGGTTCCATATCACAGTTTGTCCCCACCAGCTAGATGGGAAGGAGCACAGTTCCAGGTGTCAGTGGAGTGGAGGCAGGACTGGGGAAGGGACATGGCTCAAGGGTATGAAGCAGCTGCTTCGAATGCAGAAGGTTGCAGGTTCAACCCCCCAATGGCATCTCCCTGAAACCCTGGGGAGCCACTGCTGCCAGACAGTGCAGACAATACTCAGCCAGCCTGACTCAGTAGAAGGCAGCTTCCTATGTTCCTAAGGGAGCAAACTTCTCTCATGGATACAGCAGCTGCTTGGTATGCAGAAGGTTGAGGGTTCGATCCCCAACAACATCTCCAGGTAGGGTAGGAGACACTCCCTGCCTGAAAATCTGGAGAGCAGCTGTCAGTCAAACATTTGGTAGATGGAGCACAGGACAGCTTCCTATGTTCCAGAGCAAGGGCCTAAGACCTGCTCGGGATTTTAATATAGAAAGGAAAAGGTTGAAAAAGAAAAATTGGCCATGGTTCCTTCCTAATGCCATGTGACAAGCAGAGGATCTCGCTGCCGCTGAGGGATAATCACAGGTGATCTAAAACTCAGGGATGAGATTTGGGCTGCCCGCCACCACCATGGCAACCCTGCCTGAAAGACGGGGCTACATCTAAAGCAGAGATGCTGACAGCTCCAAGCAACCGACTCACTCATCACTCAGGGAATAGATTAAATCACAAACACACACCCAAAGCACAGGTGTTAGCAGCAAGCCAGCCGCTGCAAAACACTACACACACACGTTGCCCAAAGTGCACGAGGCAGTAGCTGTAGCGCTGAGCCCTGTGATGGACTGCCCTCTCCTGGCTATGTCTGAGTGTGACTGCAGAAAACATGAGGTACCAATTTCTGTTTCTAGAGCAGCGGGGCAGACTTGGAGGCACTGAATCCAAATGAACCCTCTCTTCTTTGGGGTTGATGTGTGGTGGGGAGGGGGCTAATCCATGCAATTCTGCACTTTTACAGATGGTGCAGGCCAGTGCTTGTGATGTCGCAAAGGAATTTCCCAGCCACCCACTTTCAGAGCAGTTATCAACTTGAAGACAGACCAGCTCTGTCTGGTTGCTCCGCTCCCTCAACTATTAGCTGTCAAGCAGCAATTCCTGCAATGGAGGTCAGAGGGTCAGAGAAGGAACAAGGTCCAGTCCAGCAACTCTGACGACAGCCTGGCTTCACTTGGCTCTTCCTCCTCCTCCTCTGTCTGAAGCTCTTCCATTCAAACTTCATCCTGCCTGTTCTTCATTTTGACGTCAGGTGATTGACAAGTGGGTCGTCCTGCCCACTTGTCAAAGGGGTGAGGGGAGAGACTGCAGAAAGCAGGATTGCTTCAATGATGTGCAGGGAGAGTTCAGTCCTTTCTGAGGCTGTGTCTCTACCCGCTCCACGTCTGAGATCACATATTGTTCAGCCATGAAGGCATGGGCCATTCACTATCAGCCTAACCTACTTCACAGGGCTGTTGTGAGGACAAAATGGAGAGGTGGAGAAGAGTGGGGACAACCTTGAGCTCCTTGGAGGAAAAGGTGGGATATAAATGCAGTATTGATAATAAAATAAATGTTAATTCAGTAAGAAACAACCTCATAGGGGTCCAAGGAGGGTCACGTCTGGCCCAGAGGGGGTGAAGGTTTCCCATCCCTGTGTCCTAAAGGGAACCCCAAGCCCAACTCAGCAGCAACGAAGCCACTCCCAGCACCCAAGCAAGGCAGCTCTCGATGAGCTTGGCCCGTTACCTTTGGTGGCTCCTGCAGCCCCCAAGTGATAAACGGCCCCCAAGACAAGCCAGAAGGCTTTCTGCTCATCACTGGAGATGCCCATCACTTTCATGGCTGCCTGGAGCTTGCTGAACTGCTGGGCGGCCTTCTGCTTCTCCTCCGGCTGCAGCCAACAGGAAATAAATAAAACAAAATACACAGTCAATGGGCCTGCACTAAAAAAATGGGGAGCCTGATTATAATTGCTCAGTAAATGGCATCTGCAGTAGGGCCACGTGGGGTGGTTTCCTGTGCTGGCTTACATGGCACAACGGCCAAGATCCACAGGCCCACGGGTGGCCTGCTCAGGGCACAAGCACACACGTGTTCCTGCCTCTTATGGTGAGAGAGTGAGCAGGGAAGCAAGAACAGGGACCCCACACAGCTTTTAATTAAAAATCTGCATGCAAGGCCTCAGGAACAAGGGTAAAAGCTCTTGGTGGTAGGTGACTTTTCTGCTTTGTCCCGCAAAGCTAGTCAACCAGAGCTTTCACACAGCAGGCTTGTTTTTATTTAACAAAATTTATGTACCGCTTACTGGAAGAAAATACCTCCAAGCAGCTTACAATGAACAGTCGCTGACGATACCAATAAAAAGCAATTTACATAAAGATAAAAGAAAACCAGTCATTATAAAACACTTATACTTGCTAAAATCACATCATCGAGATTACATGCTAAAATTAAAGGCCTCAGCAGGCTTGCTGGGAACAATGAAGCTTTTAGCAGGCACCGAAAACAGTACAGTGCAGAGATCCAAAGTGTTGGGGCCGCCATGCTAAAGGACTGATTTCTTGCAAGCGCAGAATGAACATTATGTGACACTCAGAGCAATGTCAGCCCCACAGATCAAAGCAGTCAAAAGAGGGCACATATGGGAGGAGGTGACCTTTCAAGCAAAGTGGTCACGAGGCGTTGAGGGCTTTGATACTAACAACAATACTGTGAGCCTCTCCCAGTCACTAGCCAGCAACCTGTGCGGACCTCTGATCCCCTCAGTGGCCCAACCGTCCATCAAGAAAGAGGAGAGGAGACATAGCTCAGTGGTAGAGCATCTGTCTTGCAAGCAGAAGGTCCCAAGCTCAATCCCCGATGGCCTCCAGGTAAGGCTGCGAGAGACTCCTGCCTGAAATCCCAGAGAGTCGTTGCTGCCAGTCAGTGTAGACAATATTGAGCCAGATGGTCTGACTCTAGCTCCCCCCCTTCTATGACTGAGCCACCTTACCTTTGACAGGGGTACAATCCCAAAGACGTTGTTTTCTGCCAAGTGGTTGAAATGAAGCTCCGTCCTGGGGGTGGAGGGGAAGAGGACAGAGTCAAGAGAGAGTGCTGGAGGCGGCATCCCAATTCAGAAAGGCCCACTTTGCCCTCCCCCCAGCCCACCCCCTGCACTAAAACAGGGGTTGCCTTGTTTTGCAGGAGCCCTGTGGATTTTGATTTATGTTCAGCTGCCTCCACAGGATGCTTAGAAATAGAAATGATTTGCACATTATTACCCCAGCCAATAACTACAAGATTATCAGGCCCATGTTTTATCACAAAACATCCAAGACCTAAAGGGTTTGAATTGCCCTCGTTTTTCTTATGTGATGTTGTAGTTTTTGCACAGAAATAAAAATCTTTTTAAAGCAAAAACAAAGGCTCCATTTGCCAGAGGCTACACTTGCCAGAAGCAGACAGAATTCCTAAAACCAGGCCCCTGGTCTGCACTGTCCTGCCCCCTCACTTCAGGGCTGGCTGCGCTGCGGTTAATCAGTGGGGAGAGACCTTCCTTACTTATACGCACAGAGGCATTTGAATATATCCAAAACAGATCTGAAGAGGCTGACAAACCCTCCCAAGGCAGAGCTGTGAGACTTGTCTCACCTCGAAGGACATTTTCATGACAATTTTGGACAGCAGGAAAGCAACACATGAGGCCGGACACACATAAGAAGAGCTGCTGGATCAAGTCAATGACCCACCTAATCCAGCATCTTCTTCTTACAGTGACCAACCAGATACCTGTCGGAAATCTGCAAGCAAGACTCAAGTACAAGAGCCCTCTCCCCTCCAGTGGCAACTGGTATTCAGAAGCATTGCTGGCCTCCAGTTCCCAAGGCAACCCCAGCCAGTAATCTGGACCCTGCATTTCAGACCAGTTGAAGGTTTCAAGTAATCTTCAAAGCCACCTTTGAAAACACTATCTTGCTTCCTTCCTTCCAACCCATTTTGAGAACTCCAAGCCCTAAGCCAGGAGGACACTGCAACACATGCAACCAGGCAGGCGCTGGTCCCTTGGGTTGGGAGCTGCAGCAGCCTCCTTACCGGAGGGCATTGTCCGAACAGGCCAGCAAGTAGTAGAACACGTTGAAGGTGGCCTCATTCGCGGGGCGCTTGGCAACCCTGAGTTTCTCCAGCAGCATTGTCTGAGGGATGCAATCAGAGAGAGAAAAGGTCTGTGTGGTACAAGGCCAGAGGGTTCCCACTTTGGCCCCAAGAACTTCCTGCAGAACCCCAGCTCCTACCCCACCCCACCCCACCTTCTGTCATACTCTCACTTCTGGCTAGTTTTGTGAGGCTCAGGACCATCACAGCCATGACAGCATGCCCTACAAGCCCCCTACTACTTGCAAACGCATAAAGGGCTGTAACTCAGTGACAGAGCACCTCTTTTGCATGCGGAAGGGTCCAGGTTCAATCCCCAATAGCACCTCCAGATAGGGCTGAGAAATACCACCCCCCACATGAAACCCTAGATCATAGCTGCCTGTCAGTGCAGACAATAATGAGCTAGATGTGCCAATGGTCTGCCTCCAGAGAAGGAAATTTTCTACATTCCTATTTAAACCAGCCTTTAATAAACCAGCCTGGAATTTCACTTTATTTTTGAGGGAAGTATGATAGCTCAATGGCAGAGCATTTGTTCTGCATGCAGGAAGTCCCAGAAAGTTCAGTCCAGGGAGGGCTGGGAAGGACCCCTGTCTAAAACCCTGGAGAAAGGCTGTGAGTAGACAAGTCTGAGCAAGATGGACCAAAAGTCTGACTTAGGATAAGACAACTACCCGTGCTCCCTGCTGCAGGGATACAAGAATGCAGTAACATAGTAAGAACCTGCTGGAAGTGTATGCAACACACACAGACACACCCTCTCACCTGCACAGAGGCAGAGGCCACCTGCCCAGCCTGGTCAAAGTCCAGCGAGATTATCTGTGAGAAGCGGGTGGCGTTGGCGTTCAGGCTCGTGCCACTGTTGCCAAAGGCCTCCAGGATGGTGTACAGTGCTTGCCACTTCTCCGCTGCCAAGGCAAAGCAAGGAAAAGCATGCAGGGGCAGACCATTGTTGTGCGTGGGGGCACGCTCACATACGTGTAGATGAAATGGCAAGCATGTGTGTGCACCCCACCCCCACAACCCCAATAGACCGGTCATCATCTCAAGGGGCCGAGAGGGACCCCTTACCCGACTGCATCACCCCTTAGCAGATTTGCCACCCCCCAGACTGTGTGGCACTGTGCCATGCAAGTTACTCAACTCAAAGAAAGGGACATTTTGAGTGTCAAATGGTTAGCATCCCTGTGAAACGCAGTGCTGACAGTGTCAATCAGGCACCACCCATCCAGAAAGGAATACGGTCAGATTTCAGAGGAGCTGTCAAGTCAGAGAGAAAAGACAGGATCCTGGCTGCTGGAGGTTGAAGTGACAGGTTGAAAAGGGCACTACAGCAGCACACAGCAACCAGTAAACCAGAGAACAACAACAGGGGTCAGCACTTCTCCAACAAAGAGTAAGCGGAGGGCGGTTGCAGCAGGATTCAAAGGTGCGTTTTGAGAATGGAGGAACAGGGATAGGAAAGAGAGACTTAGGTAGCCCAAGGCATGTCAGTTCAGGATCCGCTTGCCTCTTCCATTACACCAGCTCAGCTCAGCTTTGCAAGAGATTCCCATACAGGCCACTGTGAAAAGAAGATGGTCAACTAGATGGGCCACTAGGCCTGATCCAGCTGCAAGGCTCTTCTGAGGTTCTCTGCGAGATCTGCAAAGTCCACCTCCTTCTTCCTCCATCTGCAACATCTTTCCTCTTAAGAAGAACATAAGAAGAGCTTGGCTGCTGCATCTAGCCCAGCACCCTCTTCTCACAGTGGCCAACCAGCGGGAAGCCTGTCCAGTGTTTCCCGAACTTGGGTCTCTAGTTGTAGTTAGGGATGATGGGAGCTGTAGTCTTCAGTATTGCTCAAATCGCTCAAATAAAACAATGGCCAGGTAGGGCAGGGAAGGATTCTGCCTGAATTCCTAAAGAGCTATTGTAAGTCAGCACAGAAAATACTGAGTCAGATGGACCGATGGTCGGATAATGAGTTCAGCATCCCTGAAGGGCCTCCCCTTAAAAACAGGAAGGGGGGGATTTGATGGGATGTGGTACCCTCTCATAATGTATGTGACCCAACAATGGAGTCAAGATTCTTCCACCCGCCTCTCAAAAATCTATGTAGCTGTATACAATTCCCAAGCGTCACTGACTTGAAACAAATGCTGAAACAAACAGACAAACAAAAACAGCACAGGAGGCTTGTAATGTGCTATTTATTGTGAGCCTGTAAAATGACTTCCAACTCTCTTGCGTTTTCGTTGGAATGCTGGAGCTATGTTTTCCTTTGGTTAGCGTACCACATCCTGTTTGTTTTGTATATTGTTCACTTGTTTGCGTTACACACACACACACAAAAATCAATTGGCCTCAAATATAAAGTCTGGAAATCTGTTCAGGCCAATATCTCTGTTATGTTAGGACACTGTACATCCTAGTCATTTCTACTTGGTTATCTAAAATACGTTACTTTGGAAAATAGTGTTAACCTTAGAACTGCTGCTAAAACTGTCATAGCTAAATGGAGGGAGGGGAGCACATCTCCTTCTATATCCGAATGGACTGAGGAAATTTGATCAATGATTAAGTTAACAGTACAAAAGAATACATAGGAACCAGCCTAACAGATTTACGGAAAAATTGGCATCTTTCACAATGTTTTGGAACAGTAAGTTTCATGATATGCTGCTTTCAACCTGCTGTAAAATTGCATTTGTTTACTCTTGGTTTCTTTTCTTTTCTTTGCTAATAAAAATAATTGTTAAATTCCAACAAAGACATTTATTTTGTTAAAGAAACAGGACGAGAGCTTGGTGTGCTCCTTGCTGTTTGGTGGCATGGCTTCCCTTGAACATCATTTCAGAAATGTCCTCATTTTCACCTGCTTTCCCAAGGGCTGCCCCCACCCCCAAGGGCCTCTAGAAGGAGCCGAGGCCACTGCTGGCCACACACCCACCTGAGAAGACCTTCCCGGAGCTGCCAGCAACTGTGGCCAAGTACTGGACCAGGTGCTGGCAATTGGTGGTCTTTCCGCTGCTGCTGCTCCCCAGCAGAACGATGGACTGGTCCTGGCGGCTCATGAGCATGTTCCGGTAGGCGGCCTGGGCCACGGCGTAGATGTGGGGGGAGGTGTCCTCCTTGCGGCAGCCCTTGAACATGTGCATCACCTGGAGGAAGCGGCAGCATTAAGCGCGGCATCGGAGAGGCAGCAAAAGGGCAAGGGGGAGAGGAGATGCTGGGAGGATTAAAGCAGGCATGGCTTCTGGAACTGGGAAACAGGAGCCCCAGAGAGAAGGGGAGAGAGAGGCTGTAGCTCAGTGGTAGAGCATCTATTTGGAAGCAAAAGGTCCCAGGTTCAGCCCCCAACAACATGGCCGGTTCAAAAAGGGGGTCTTCTGTTCTTATTAGTCACTTTAACAACAAAAAACAAACTCAAAGCTGCTTACAAAAATGATTGTGAAACAAGGATATACATCCTAAAATATCTAATGGCAATTGTGGTTTTAAAGCTTTATTGTAAGCCACCGCCGTCACCCCCCCCCCTGATAATGTATTTCAAGAGTGGGGGGTGTAAATCTAAATAAGAATTAATGATGGATTTAGAGATGCTACCCAGCTGTGCTGCTATCACGCCATGTTATCAATCTGGTGTATTGATCAACACTAACCAGATGTCGATTTTTAAATCTCTATTCTTTGAGCTACCAATAAAAATGTGGTCTATAAATTTCAGTCCACACAGACAAACAAACAGAA